AAGGTGAACTCGTGACTCACCTTACTCATCTGATGCACGCCTTTGATCTGCCGCCGCCCGTTACCCTGATACCTCCTCTTGTGTGCGCCCTTCCTCTACTTTCCGCTATTTGATCCCGCTTGAATGTTCATTATCTCTCCCTCCTCCCCACCCCTCCCCGGCCTCCTCTCTCGCCTCCTTGTCCTCCCCCTCCCCGTCCCCTTCCCCGACTCCTCCCCCTCTCGGTCTTCTTCCCCGACCCCTCCCCTTCCCCGATTCCTCCCTCTCCCTGTCCCCTTCCCCGACTCTTCCCCCTCCCCTTCCCCTTACCCGACTCCTCCTCCTCTTGGTTTACTTCCCCGACTCCTCCCCTTCCCCCGCCCCCTTCCTGACTCCTCCCTCTCTCGTCCTCTTCCCTATACCTCCCCCTTCCCCTCCCCTTCCCCTTTCCCTTCTTGATTCCTCCCCCTCCCTGTCCTCTTCCCTATACCTCCCCCTTCCCCTCCCCTTCCCCTTTCCCTTCCTGACTCCTCCCCCTCCCCGTCCTCTTCCCTATACCTCCCCCTTCCCCTCCCCTTCCCCTTTCCCTTCCTGACTCCTCCCCCTCCCCGTCCTCTTCCCTATACCTCCCCCTTCCCCTCCCCTTCCCCTTTCCCTTCCTGACTCCTCCCCCTCCCCGTCCTCTTCCCTATACCTCCCCCTTCCCGTCCCCTACCCCGACCCTTCCCCAACCTCGTCCTCTTCCCCGACTCCTCCCCTTTCCCGCCTACTCCTCCCCATCTTCCTTCTCCTCTTCCCTGCCCACGCCCTATACCCTACCCTCTTCCGCTCCCCCCCCCCCCCATTCCCCCTCCTTTCTATGAGTCTCCCCTTTCCATTTTCCTTTGATGTTGCAGTTGAATGACATCCATTGCGAATCCACTTTTGTCGTAGTTCCGAAGGTATGAGCTAATCAAATCCGGGTTTTCATTTCAGGTCATTTACCTCCCGCGGGCAGTGAAGGGCGGGCGACGGGACAGCGCGGTTCGTGGGCGGGTTCGGCTGCAGAGAGAAACGTTTCGAAAATGTTCAGAAAAGTTTAATTTGCGAGCTCCTTTTTTTTTCTTTCTTTCTTTCTTTTTTTTCTGTAATTTCCTGGATCTTTATGACTAAGAATCCCTTTTCTGTAACAGGATCATAGACTCGTTTTTTTTCCCTCTTTTTCTCCGGGGCGTCTTAGAAAGAGACACGCCGTCCGCCCTTCTGCAGGAAAATCGCTATCTGTCGCAGGAAATTCGTATCTACAGATAATGGCGATAATAACTCTGCGTCGTGGCGGCCGAGAACTCCATGTTTTCCCCGCTTGCTCCGCTCGCTTCGTTCCCTTTGTACCTTTCGCACTAACGGTTTTCTAATTGAAATTTAAAAAAAAAACGTTTTTTTTTATTTCAATTCAGATATGGTGAGATGAAGATTTCCTCCAATTAGGATTCAGTAATGGTTGGGTGAGGATTCCCGCTAACTGAATTATAAAAAAAACGGTTTTCTGATTCCAATTCAGAAATGGCGGGAGGAGGATTCCCACACAAACGGTTTTCTAAGTCTAATTCAGAAACGGCAAGATGAAGACTCCTCCTTAGTAAACGGTTCTCTAATTCTATTTCAGTATTGGCGAGATAAAGGTTCCCGCGCAAACAGATTTCTAATTCAAATTCAAAAAGAGCGAAATGAGGATTTCTGCGCAAACGGTTTTCTGATTCAAATTCAAAAAAGGGTTCCCGCGCAAACAGATTTCTAATCCAAATTAAAAATTGACGAGATGAGGATTCTGGGGCAGACGGTTGTCTAATTCAAATTCAAAAAAATTGGCGAGATAGATCGACTCCCTGTTTGGCTGATGAAGGCGGACGCGCGGCCCTGCCTGGGCTTCCGACGCTGATTGTGTTACACGCCTAACGATGTTCCCGCCTTTTCTTTTTTCTAAGATTCTTTTAAATTCGGAAGGCTAGAAGCGATTGTGTTTTTGGATTTTGTCTTTTAATGGGGATTTAAGGATTATTTTTCCCCTTGGTGTTTTTATGTTCAGTTGAATCAAGGCGATGCCTTCATGTGTCTCGTAACAGTGTTGTTTAAAGAATAGAGACTGTTAGAATGTGTGTGTGTTTTTTTTTTTTTGTGTGTGTGTGTGTGTGTGTTTGTGTGTGCGTGTGTTTGTGTGTGTGTCTTTGTCTGTCTGTATGTGTGTGAATACCGATTGTGCATATAAGTTTCTGGACTAATATGCTATCTCTGTGCGTACTATATACAATGATCATGAGAGAGTAATTGTATGTTTGAGCATCTGACACGGGATGTCGAATATAGACACCAATTAACAAACAGAACCAGTTGGCGTCGTAACACGTAGCAGATGTGATGCCTCGTTCTCTCTCTCTCAAACGAAGCTCAGTTGAAAGGTCCCCGGGGAAGAGAGACGTACTGTGATAATACAATATATTTACTAGAGATTCCCAATTAATCAGTGACGGGGGCTGGAGAGTTA